GAAAAAGAGTGAATGAAAATGGTGTTCATACTTTAAATGACATGTTTGTCTTTTTCCAAGAGTTTAAAGAGCAGCACAGGGGTGTCTGAGGTAAACGTAGAMGGAGTAATGTGTCTCCCACGCTGGTGACATTATAAACAGCCAAGCTGCCCAGTATGGATTAACCAGATGTAACCCCGCCTTGAATTTCCACACTTCTCTCCAGTCGCCGTGTCTCGTGCCTCCATCAGAACCGAACGGGAACTCCGCTCCGTGCGTAAAGCTGCTGGACACCAGGAGGACGCGTCGCGCGCTTCCAGCTTCTCCTCCCACTACTTTTGTCAAAAGAGCGAAACCCAACAAAACCCGTCCGTTTGTATTACCTACAAAGGCAAAGAAGGGAAACACGTCTTCATTTTTAGGTGTATTTGTTTGAGCGTACATTTTGTGCGTTTTTTCCCCCTCTCCCTGTTTCAGCCTGAACTCATGCCTCACATCCGAGCTGCTGCGCCGAAACGATTATTTTTCTTTTAATGGGTAAAATAATGCGCAAAGGAAATAAAAAGGATCCAGCGGGAGAGAACTGTGGACTCTTTTGGATTTAATCGTCGGTGTCTTTAAAACCAAGATTCAATCAAACTTATGGCGTGAAGGTAAGGCAGTTTTAGTGTTGTCTTTTTATCAGCGTGTAATATCTTAAACTTAACAAAACATTGGCATGTTCACCTTGATCGAGCTAATACTTAGAGAAAAAATATCCCTTAAAGATTATGTTTAGGTGAATGAGTGTTTTTTTTTTTTTTTTTTTTTTTTGCGCCACTGAGAGCGCACTGACGGTGTGGATGCGTTCCAGGAGGGGCTTCTAAAGACAGCACTGTCTTCGTTATTGACTCTTGCTGGAAGTGATTTAAACTCGCTGAAGGCAAGCGTTCAGKCTGTAATCCATCCCGGGTAAAGAGCGCTCCAAGCGAACCCGTCTGTGCGCGTGGAGCTGCCTGACACCTCTCCACCCATGTTTCAGATCTGTTTGTTCCCAACAGTACTGGACTCTGATTCTGGAGACAGCAAGTCCTGAAGCCAGGGACAGGAGGTGGTCTCATATTGGAACCCAACACCCCTGCTAATAAATAAATAAATAAAAAGCCACAGCTCATTTGGTTAAATTGTTTATGATAGTTTAGTGCCTTTTAATTCACAAGGAAATGATATATTCAAGAAGCCTTTGCAAACTTTACACATCTTTTTTTGAAGTTACATAAGACTTACAAAGTAAAAAAAAAAAAAAAAAAGTAATAAGCATCCAGAAACTTTACCAAACCATTCAGTATGTTGAAATTTGGTCAGCMGTTTTCTGACCCAACAAAAATCTGCAGGTCAGCTATATTAAAAGGGAAAATTAGTCATGGTATCACCATTTTGACAGAATTGCTGATTTCAGTGGCTGTCTGGACTGAAGAGATTGATCTGTTAATCTCTACTGAAAGCATTTCCAGTGAAATACCAGAGGATCAGGTGAGGTGGGCTGCTGTGTGTGTGCGTGTGTGTTTAGTGTTTATCCAGTGACAGCACCCAGACAAATATTGAATGCTACACCCCTCCTGTCTCTTCTGTTACTCCTCTTTGTGAACAGAACAGCTTCACCAGAGCTACGCGATGCAGTGTTTGTCAGGGCCACGAATGCTTCGAAGAATCGTTCACTTAAAAGAGGATTTATTTGAACATTTTGTGTGTGTGCGCGCTTGAGTTATTAGCAGAAAATAGATACATTCCACAAGTAAAATCCAGCTCTCAAATTACTTTGCACTGCAAAAAAAAAGTGTACGATAAGCGAGTACTTTTTAAATCAAGTCGGGAGAAAAACTGTGCAAGGGGATTAAGCCATTTGATGCAAACYATCAGTCACTAGAAACAGTTAAACAAAAACAATGGTAAACCTGCTCCTGCAGATTAACCCGATTATGAACCCAGTTATTTGTTACGTTCTGCCTCATGATCCAGTGTGAAATCACAAGCTCGGTGTTTAAACAAACACATTCAAACAGCTTTGACAGGATTGCCCATGTGAGAATTATACAACATTTAAGATATAGTTTTCAAAACGGACGGAGTGCTAGATTTTAAGAATGCAACATTAATAGGATAAAATACTCAAAAATGTCTGGCCTCACAGCTGGCCTCACACGTTTGAAATAAAATTAGGCTGGAACCTCTATTTTAATTCTGAATCTCCATCAGCAAATTAAATAAAWTTTTAAAAGCCCCTGAAGACAATTAGTTAGACCTACTAATCAGAGTAAAAAAGTATGTGATGGAGCATTGAACGAAATGCTTCACCAGTGTTTCTACAGTCCTATCTTCTCCACKTCCCCTCCAGTAATAGATAAACGACTGTGATTGCCTGGCCTGTGCAAAGCGGAAATCTGTTTGGACTGAATGAGGGCCAGATGTATTTTGCCAGAGCAAATAATGCATGTACCCTTAGATGTGCCTGTTTCTCAAGCTAAAAAAAAGCTGTTTGAGATAAAACAGCCTTTTCTCTCTCTAATGGCACTATATGTTGCAAGTTTATCAATGCAAAAAGTAAGTTCAGAGGGGGTGCTGTCAATTATTTGTTTCCATTGCATCCCCTGTCCAGCAAAATAATTGGCATAATACACCTTTTCTATTTTTCCTTAATCTAACTGCCCAAATTTGGTTTCTAAAGCTACAACAGTGGCAGCAGCAGAGCAGAATGTGTGAGCAGGTTCATTTTTATGCATTCATGACTGAAAAAAAGCTTAGAAGATTCAATATTTCACAAATCTAAAACACTACTTAGATGAGATTAAACTTAGTTACGTTTTTTGTGGATGGACAAAATTCTGGGAACAGCTGTTCTTCCTGTGGCATCGCTGCTACATGTCAACATTTTTTTTCAATATTGATGCCTTATGTTTTAAAAGGGAACCAGTGAGGGCTGCACATCTGAAGTATAGTTTAAACAACAACTCTGCTCTCTTGACAGCAAGATTTACACAAGCCACAATACTMGGTACAGAATATTCTTATAGCTTAAACCAGTGGTTCCCAAACTTTTTATCTTCTGACCCACAAAGTATCCATGGCAAAAACTTGTGACCCCAAATATTACTGGTCTGAGTACACGAACTTCGTTAATAACCCTAAAAACACAAGCTTTTTCACAATCTAAACAG